AATTTAATGTGCACTATTTCTGGCAGTCTGCAAAGGCCCTTACTCTGTGATATAAAACTTCAGTCTAGAGTAAGCACTACCACTTAAATAATTCTTCTCTGCCTCCAATGCCAGTATAACATGGGGAAATTCCTTCCTGCTTACATTACCTCACTTTACCTGGTGGTGACTTTGCAAAGAGAGATAGAGATCTCACGTCTTTGCCTGTAATGTTTTCACTCTGTCAACATAGGTGCCACTAAGGATGGAGTGGAATGCTCTGTACCCACTGTATCATTCCAAAGCTCTGACAGTTGCCAGTGCTTTCATTACTGGGAATAATGTCATGTCATTCTCTTGCTTTGGGGGACAGTTTTAAAGTGTGTGAGTTTTTGTTTGTTTGTATTTTGCTTTTACTGTTTCACTGAAGGACCTTCTGTGATACATTTTGGGTTTCTCACTCAAACAGAAATTTATCAACAAATATAGAAATTAAAAGACTGGTCCACAGATTGGAAACATCAATATACATCCCAGTTCCCAAGAAAAGGAGCACCCCAAGAACATTGCACTAATCTCCCATACAAGCAAAGTGATGCTCCCAATTCTACAACAAAACCTTTTACAGTGGGCCCTTGCTATCTGCTGGGGTTTGGTTCCAGTGTGCAGAAACGGACTGTGGCATATCCCTTTAAAATGTTGAAGAGATTATGTGAATGGGGCAAGGCTCAGTGGGAAGAGAAAGGAGATTTGTGGTTGGAACTGAGGGTGGCAATCTATGTTGTTCGGTAGTCAGGTTTTCGAATGTTTTTCAGTAGCTGTCAAAAGTGGTAATGATGAAAACTCAAGAGAAATATTTTTCAATTTTTCAGTCTGCCCCTAGCAAATTAAGGAACCAAGAAGGAAACTTGTGTACCTCCTTACAGTTCTGAAAAGTGTATTTGTTAGAAAGAATCAGGCAAGAGAAAGAAGCAATAATTTCTAATGCCATGTCTCTAGGTAACTCTTGAGGTGAACAAAAAATGATTTCCTTCTGTTTCCTCCTCTCTATGGAACAATTGCCATCAATATTTTTTAGGAAAGGCCTTTCTTTATTTTCAATAATCTTGTTGGCCTTAAACCATGGGCATTCAAGTTAAAGTTGCACAACATTTTTGACAAACAGAAGCTGAATGGACTACTTGAGAGAAAGTCATTTTCTTAAGGCAGTTTCATATATTAATAAACATTTCATACTACTAAAAGGTCACAGGGAAGTGGCATAAATGCTTCCCCAGGATGAAGGAGAGCTGTTCTAAAAAGGCAATATTATTTCTTATATCCATCTTGGACCTGATATGTTGTGTATTTTGAAGTCATTTCCAATTTATGACAACTGTAAGGCAACTTTACTAAGTGAGGTCCTAGTAAAGCCAGCATGGCATTGTGGTTTGAGCGTTGGACTGTGACTTTGAAGACCAGGGTTGGGTCCCTCTCGGCCATAAAAGCCATTGAGTGACCTTGGGCAAGTCCCACGCCTATCATGGGGTTTTATTGGCAAGGTTTGTTCATAAGAAGCTTGCCATTGCCTTGCCCTGAAACTAAGAACATGTGACTTCCCCAAGGGCACCTAGTGTGTTTCATGGCCAAGTGGGGACTCGAACCCTGGTCTTCAGAGTCACAGTCCAACACTCAAAACACTATGCCATGTTAGCTTTACTAGGACTGCATCTATAAAGTAGAAGTCTACTGCAGAAGGGAAAACCTTGATAGAGAACAGTAGATCCATAGGCACCTCCCTTGTTCCCACACAGCAATGCATTGAATGCACACATCAAAGATCATTTTAAAAAAATTAAATGGCCCCAAATGGTCCCAACAGCTTTGCAACATTTTTGCCCATCTCCTCTGCTTTTTTAGGCCCGGAGATATCTTTTTGAAATAAAAAATTTACAAGAAGTTGACAAATAGTTGACTTTTTCTTTCATAAAAAGCCTCTCCATGCCCAAAATGCCCCCCATGCTCCCTGGGTGTTGTAGAAGGCCATTTTCCACATTTTAGGGGCCCTGAGAGTGGAGCTTCACATCAACCATTTCTATATCCAAACTTCAGGTTAAATTATTTCCATTGTAGCTGTCACTGAGAAAACCCTGTTTGTGTATAGCCAACAGTTCCCTTCCCACAGAAAAGAGACATGGAACAGTATCTTCTCAGTCCATCTTACATTGTTGAGAGAATCATATTTAGGAGAAAACATCTTCCTAAAATATAGTGGAAGCTGGCCATAGTGTTAGTCAACACCAATAATTTAAAGTGCCTTTTAAAACCCACTGGCAATGATACTAATACATCTCCCAACTTGTTTCAACCAACAGATAAAAATAGCATTTTATGCTGGCAGTAATGCTTGTGCATTCTTTACAGACATTATCACCCTAAATATAATGCATTATAGAAATGATTTCTCAGGGGCACCAAAGCATGGACAATAGGTACAAGGCTACAGCTAGTCTTGGGCTGCAACTTACATAATGAGAAAATTACATAATTAAAAACCTTTGGATGTTCTACAAGTGTGGAAGTGAGGCCTCTATGTAATGTCTTCTGTAATATATACCACCTCACTGAAATCTTGAAAAAGATTACCTTTTTTATTGCAACTACTAGACCTTCCCAATTAGCATGAGCAAATAAATGGCCAATTCTGGGCACTGTAATCTAAAGAAATAACTTGAAAGATCTGGCCTCAACCCTGAGAATGCAGGCTGATTCCAAGCAGAACAATGGACTGTCCATTCTCACAAAGTGTATATGATTAGTACAGGGCTTGTGTATACTGTATATGTGTTATTCTAAGATAACAAGGCTTTATTTCATGTTAGCTTTTATTTACACATCCAAACAGTAGGAAAGGCTGGATTAAGATGGTCCATCTTAAAATAAGGCTATCTTCAAACATGAGCTGCTTCAGTGTCATGTGATTCTACCCTAATAAGCATGTGGCACCTACATGGGTGAAGCCAATTACAATGGTCTTCTACACAGAATTGGTATGCATAATACATGCCATTTTTTAAAGAAAGATGAACAGCACCAGCCCTCCTCCTATGCTCATGGTACTCCCATATGCATTTTCTTACAGTTGGATTACACTGCTTTGAGCTGATCATACAAGCCAATCATTTTCAAGCAGACCTCTGGGAAAGATGGCCATGTGTTCTGCTTTGCAAAGGACAACCATCTTCCTAAAGGTTTCCACTGATGGATTCTCCTGGCATGGAAAACCCATCAGTGGGAACCTTTAGAATAGATGGTTGTCCTTTGCAAAGTAAATTTTTAGGTAGATGGTTGTCCTTTGCAAGATTGAGTGCTTTGAAGTAGCCCAACAGCAGCTGGAAAGCAGGCTGAACAGGTATAACAGGCATAAATTTCCTCCTCTCTAAGTTTAGATGCAATTCATTTCTAAGGATAATAATTAAGTCTTGCTTTGCATCTATACCTACAAATTAGACATATATATTTATATATATATATATATATATGCATGCATGCATGTAAGAACGGGGGGGAGCTTTCTCCTCACTGATTGTGAGTGAGATTATGAGTTTCTGTACATTTAAAATGTGTTGTTGTTTTTTTGCATTTCTGAATCTGTTTTTTTTTCACCAAAAAAAGGGGTCAGGATTTTACCCTCCTCCCCCAGAAAAGTTGTATTTTACAAAGAATATTACAGTTTGTGTAATATTGCAATGACAATGAAAATAAAAACAAACCAAACAAACAACCCATGTATTAGTCTTTTTTCTCTCAGGCTGGAGCAAAATAACAACAATAATAAAAATCTTACAGTAACTAACACATTTTCATGGGGTCTCTTGATATGTTAAGATACTCAGTCTTGCCAAGGATAAGAAAATTTATGAATATTCTTTATACCCCTAAAAGAAATTGAATAGTAATTTCTACCTTCTTTTGCCCTCCTTCTTTTTGGGGTGTGTGGTGATGCATTTGGAAATTGACCTTTCCAAAAAGCTGTAATTCAGTTGTATTTTAATATGACAACTTATTGGGGGTTTGGCTATACCTATTTTTAATCGTGTTGTAAGAGACCTTAGGTTCTAGTATTGGGGGGTGTAGGCATGATAAAAGCCTAATTGCCTCTTCTTTGGGATGCATCTCAACTGCAGAATAATTCAGTTTGACACCACTTTAACTGCCATGGCTCAATACTATGGAATTCTGGGAATTGTAGTTTGCTGTGAAATCAGAGCTTTCTGACAGAGGAGGCTTGTTTTGTCTCACAAAACAATTCTTAGAATTCCATAGCATTTTACATGGCAATTAAAGTGGTGTCAAACTGGATTGTTTCTGCAGTGTGGGTAAAGCCTTAGAGAGGCATAAATGTCCCAACTTGGGAGAAATCACAAGAGTCCAAAGTAGATCACTGAAGGCTTACAATGAAAAAAATCAGTAATACTAGAAAATGCCCTCCTCACAAAAGATGGTAGGTAATCTTTGTATAATCTTCCCCTGCAATGTGCATATGCTGAGGAATTTAGGGTATGTTCAAGGGGAAATTTGATTGATATAGGGCAGAGGTGCACATCTTCCACTGTACCTCAGAAGGCTACCCTCACCCTGCTACACATGCACCACTTTATTTTATTTTATTTTTTAAATCAAAATGCCTTGGCCATTTTAAGC